AAAAAAGGATTATTTTTCTTGTTGTGCCATTTACTGTGTGACATTTGGAAAGTCACTTCACCATTCTGGATCTCAGTTTTGATGGCTGAAAAAGTAACGGATTTGGGCTATATGAATGCTAATCATCTTTCCAATTAAACTATTATAGTTTATATGAGCAATTTTCAACCTATTTCATCTCATGGTACACATAAACTAATTTCTAAAATTCTGTGACGCACCAAAAAATATTTTTGCTTATATGACAAAAAATAGGTAAAATTTTGATTTATTCACATCGGATGGCTATTGTGTTGGCTGTTGTCATTGTTTTATTTGACAGTATAGGGGAAAAGAGGTCCGTGCCCCTGACTAAGTAGGTATTGCCTGCTTTAAAAATTCTTGTGGCACACTGAAAATCGCTGGGTATACAAGGTAGTTTATAGATTAGGAAGCAATAGCGAAGGCATAAAGTTTCTTAAATTGTTATATTTTATTTTTCATTTTTACATGTGGATGAAAAAGCAGCAAGTCACTTTAAATCTCTTCATTATCAGGACAATCTTAAAAGTAAGAAATATTATCCTGATTTTATAGGTGAGGAAACTGAGGGCCCAGAAAAGACAGTGTCTTGCAAAAGGTTACCAGCACATGCTTACTGTTTTATTGTCTAGTGTGTTAACAACATAGTGCGTACAAAATCAAGGGCTATAACTATAAGGTATACAGAGTAAGGCAGGTAATGTAAACGCTGGGTGGTTCTATGGTAAACCACAGACCACATGTCTTATGTAAAGTGAGCTAGGGCCAATTGCTGAAATATAGTCATGTGGGTTCAATATTGCCAGATCTTTAGATTTTACAAGAGTTGTTAGATGTCTCAAATTTTATTTTAAATATTCCAATTTTGATTTTTGTTTTATTTTATTTTCTTTCTGCTGTGTATTTTTAAAAAGTGAAATTATTATACCTTTCTTTAGAGCCTTATTAACGTCAATGATTTTAGAATCAACTCAACATATATTTTTGAGTAGCCAACATCTTTAAATGTGAATATATATTTTGAATGTTCTACAGATATAAAAGTCATATTCAACTTCTCAAAGGAAAACTGAGGTAACTTTAGAGTAAACATCACACACACAAAAAAAGAAGAAAAATTACATACTGAGTCACATCAGTTCAACACAGAATTCCTAATCATAAAATACCATAGTGCCTTTCTAGTAGGGATTTCACATACAATAATTGAGAAGTGTTATATTCTGTACTTACAAACTAAATATTCCAATTTTAAATGCTGGCAATTGATTCAACTGTTTAAAAAAACAAAGTTGACTGGACTTAGTCCACAGGATGATAGTTTTCAAATATAAACTTTTTAAAAAATTGACAGATTAGTGATTTAAAAATATACTGATACCATCTTTCATGTACATTCTTCATAAACCAAAGTAAGGGAATAGGGAGAAATCACAGCATCAGTATCAATCTCATTTTTCATCGAATATTCTATCAGAAGTGCTCATAGTAAAATTGCATAAGTAAAGAAATTGCTTCTCTTTATTTGAGGCCCTGTGGTGAAGGTGTTAATAAATAGGCAAAGAGTAAACAGTTCACCAGAAAAAAAAAAATAGAACATGGATAATATTAAAACAAAAAAATCTGTTCTTAAGTAATTGAAATTGACTATATTTGTGTGGTGAAAAATCCAAATATAATAAATGCATATTGAAGCTTTAAAAATAATGGGGATGGATAAGAATTATTGATTTGTAATTTTAGAAGTAAGATATGACAATTTGGGAAATAAATTTATGCTGTCATTTTTTAACTTACAGAAAGCCATTTGAAAATACTGTACATGCTTTGACAATAAACTAAGTTTTATTTAAAGTAAAGTTCTGATCTACTGATAGTTACCAAGGGAATCAATGAAATGTTTAACTTTTCCATTCAAAACGTCATAGGGGTAGCAGTATTTTATTATGTTTTTTTTAAAAAAAGTAGACATTAAAGCCCTGGCTGGTGTGAATCAGTGGTCAGAGCACTGGCCCAAGCACCATAAGGTTGCAGGTTTGATTCCTGTCCATGATCAGGGTGCATGTGGGAGGCAACCAATTGATGTGTGTCTTTCTCACGTCAGTTTCTCCCTTCCCTGCCACCCCCTCTTCCACTCTGTAAAAACCAATGGAAAAAATACCCTCAGGTGAGGATTAACAATAAATAAATAAATAAATAAATAAATAAATAAATAAATAAATAAATAAATAAAAGTAGACATTAAGGAGGGCAGAAGAAAGATGAAAAGGGAAAAACAATTACTTCTTTGGAATTTGTTGGCTTTTATGAAACACTTGCTCCACTAATTATATCCCCATAAGGTGTTATGATTTTAGATATGGCTCAGCAGGTTAATTATTATTTAAAAGTTTAAATACAATCAGAAACATGATACAGGAAAAAGAAATTTAGGTAAAATGAATTAATTTTCCTCACTGGTGTCAATGAAAAAGTTTAAAGATATCTTCCCACTGAGGGGAAAAACATTCAAAGACTATAATAAAATTTTAAAGAAAGTGAGATTAAGATAGCAGCCTTAAATTTGTAATGTCATGTTAGAATGTCATGTAACTAGTAATGTCATGTTAGAATGCTGTTCCAACATGTTTGAAACTAAGCAGGATTCCGGTCCACCATGAACTTTGTAGTTTACTTTCACTTCTGCCTTTCTTCAGAGCAGAAGAATGTCTCTTATATAGATGTAGCTTGCAAATACTTTAAGTCACAGCTTTGGGTTTTGTAAAAAGAATAAGTAGCACAGTTACACTGATATTTATTTAAGTATTCCACTAACATTGCACTTATTTAAAATGAAGGGAACCCATATTATGTGATAAAGTGTTGATAAAGGCTAGGCAAATGACTTAGTCTCCCTGTCCCTGAGTTTACCTCTAGAATGAGGATAGCATTGTTATGAGAATTAAATAAACCATGCAACATACTAGGCATATAGTGTTTAACAAAAATTATTTCTTATCAATATTATACAATAAAATGGTTACTCACTCTTTTGTTGAGACAAATAACAGGCCACAGGCTGCAACCCAGAGTACAACAACAGCAGAGACAACCACACAGCAGCCATTTCACATTGACTGGGAGAGCCTTTTTCAAACATGCATTCACACGGCTAATGCTGGTCTTAAATTCTTCTGGAGCCACCTACAAAAAGGGCACAATCTTTAATAGCTTGTGGACAACTTTCCACTATTTATCTCTAAACCTAAAGACAATGTTTGTCTTATTACAAATACTTTAAGGAATTACACCTTTAAACATATTTCTTCCTTACCCTCCCCAATAAATACATATTAACATATTCCTGGATGGCATTAGAAAGCAAAAACAATATAATTTCATGTTTACCGAATTTATTCTGTTTAAAAACAACAATCTTCTGATATTACCAACAGTAAAATGACAACAATAAAATTGGTGGTAAAGAATACCCATCAAGCAGTCTTTTTACCAAATATTCTCAATGTTAAGGCAATATTATTTATAGTTTCTAGTCATTCTGACCAAAAGTTGACTAAGATTAGAAATATAACAATATGAACCTACATACTATCAGAGGAAATTGAATTAAAATTAAATTTTGGCAATATTCCTATTTTAAAAACGGCAACTGTCAAACCTTTCTCCCTGGCAGACATGCAAAATAATTTTAACACTTGCCATTGTTACCGTTGTTTGTAGGTAAAAGCTACACTAATAAAGGTGATAACAATCAAGAAATGGTCTTGCCCTAGTCAGTTTGGCTCAGTGGTTAGAACATCAGCCTGCAGACTGAAGGGTGGTGGGTTTGACTCCAGTCAAGGTCACATACCTTAGTTTCTGGTTCAATCCATTGCCCCATTTCGAGAGGCAACCAATTAGTATGTCTTTCTCACATCAAAGTTTCTCTTTGTCTCTCCCCCTCCCTTCAATTCTCTATGAAGAATGGATGGAAAAAATATTCTTGGGTGAGGATTAACAAAAGAAAAAAAAGTTAAAAAAGAGAAATGGTCTTAGTATTCAGCATAAAAAGAACTCATGATTGCTATAAATTCTAGAAGTTGTAAAGTTCTTACACAAATTTAACATTTTTAATTACTATTTCCATTCCTGGAAGTGGCTGCTTGTGCACCTGTGTAAACAATAACAAAGTCAGTTTAAAGACAAGAGTATGAGAGGCATAACTAGATTTATACCAGAACTTCTGCTTGAGGTTATATAATTCTAAAGTATACTAAAGATAGTTTGATTTCAGTGAAATCATATTATCAATCACAAAATTGCTCCTTGTGATTTAGAAAGATGTCAGGCTGTAAAATCAATTGCAGAAAAAAATCCAGCATCTGCCTGTGCAAGCAAAACTTATAAAATTATTAGGAAAAAGAAGCTGCTATAAAATAAAACCCCGACTAGCATCTTTGGTATCAAAAATATGGAGCTTTGAAGGCTAGAAAGATGAAGGCACATTAAGTGGAAGCTACATTGACACTCTTCCAGGAAGAAACTGGAATTACAACTAAAATATAGAAAAACCATCCTGAATAATCAACTGAAGATTAGCTGGAGAGCACCCTTATAACCAAGAACATAAAATGGAGACCACACAGAGACTGGTAGGAAGTACAGAGGTGCGGGAGGGCTGGCTAGGCTCACACAGGCAGCAGCTGAAGGTCTGGAGGGATATTTCAGCTGTTGGAAGTTCCAACTGAAAACTTAGGGGCCTAAACCCCAAGGTGGGCTTCCCAGCCAAGCGCACCAGAACTGAGAAAGGTTCCCACATAACATCTGACTGTGAAAAGCAGCTGGGTTTCTGTCTGCCAGGGAGAGATGGCTGTAAATGCAGGCACCCTCTTAAAAAGCCAACAAATAAATTTCTGTGTGTAATCACTAGTCTTGGGCTCTGACAGAGGGAGGGTAGCGTGGACTACAGAGATGTGAGGAGAAGCTAGGGTTGTGGGGTCTGGAGATAGAGCTAAGAGGACATCCATCTGGATTCCTATGCTGAGTCATCCCCCATACTGCAGGAGACATCTTTCTCAAGCAAACCGTTGCCAGCCAGGCAGATTTTTGCTTGGGAAGGAAGCAATTGCCCCATACATTGGAAAAATGCTTGCTCTTCCCTGTTTAGTTTAGGCCTTGCTGTGGTCTATAGACTGAGGTGCATTAAGAGAATCAGGTTAATTAGCCTGCAGACAGAGGCAGACCTCAGGGTGCTTTGAGTCTTTGCCTGATCTGCTTCTGGACCAAGGGCTTGGGAAAACAGACTTTGGTGTGCATCTTGGTCCTGTCCAAATGCACCCAGTCCCAACAGAGGGAACCACAAGCTGTGGGTCATTGATAGCTCCAAACAGAGTACTAAAAGCCAGTCACAAACAGCATCTGACATTGGTCTGCACCAGAGACAGTCCAAAAAGACTGAGAGTATTAGCAGATTTACCTAATACATAGAAAGAAACCCAAATAGCCAGCCAAAATGGGGAGAAAAACACACACAACAAGTTCCAAATGAAAGAACAAGAGAATTCTCCAGAAGAAAAGCTAAATGAAATGTAGATAAGCAACCTATCAGATATAAAGTTCAGAATAACCATCATAATGATACTAAAAGAAGATATGGAAACTATGAAGGAAATTAAGAATGACATAGCAGAAGTAAAGAACACACTGGAAGAAATAAATAGCAGATTAGAGAAAGCTGAGGATCAGATAAGCAAATTAGAAGACAGGGTAGGAAAAACAACACAATAAGACATCCAAAAAGAAAAAAAAAAACAAAACAAGAAACAAAAAGACAATATAAGGAAGCTGTGGAACAACATGAAACGTAACAATATTTGTATCATAGAAATGCCAGAAGGGCAAAAGAATAAGCAAGGCATAGAGAATCTGTTTGAAAAAATAATGGCAGAAAACTTCCCTAACCTGGTGAGGGAAACAGTCACAAAAGTTAAGAAGGCATAGAGAGTCCTAAGCAAGAAGAATCCAAAGAGGCCCATGCCCAGACACATCATAATTAAAATGCCAAAAATTTAAGACAAAGAGAGAATCTTAAAGGCAGCAAATCTGTTACTTACAAAGGAGCTCCCATAAGACTGTCAGCTGATTTCTCATCAGAAACTCTACAGGTCAGAAGGGAATGGCATGAAGTATTCAAAGTAATGAAAAGCAAGGATCTGAAACCAAGACTACTCTATCCAGCAAGACTACCATTCAAAATAGATGGTAAAATAAAGAGCTTCCCAGACCAAAAAAAAAAAAAAAAAAAAAAAAAAAGGGTTAAAGGAGTTTATCACTACCAAAGCAACAATGCAAGAAATGTTAAAGAGACTGTTATATTACAAAGTAGAAATACATATAGAGAGAAACATAGGCATAAAGAATCAAAATGACAATAGATAAGTTCATATCCTTATATATAAGTGGATTAAGTGCTCTAATCAAAAGACATAAAGTAGCTGAATGGATAAGAAAACATGACCAAAATATATGCTGTCTATAAGAAACCAACCTCAGAACAAAAGACTCACACAGGATGAGGGTGAAGGGATGGAAAACAATTTACCATGCAAATGGAAGTGAAAAAAAAAATCTGGGGTAAAATACTCATATCTGACAAAATAGTCTTCAAAATAAAGACTATAATGAGAGACAAGAAAGGTCATTACATAATACTAAAGGAATTGATTCAACAAGAGGATATAACCCTGATAAACATATATGCACCCAATATAGGAGCACCTAAATTTATTAAAAGTCTTCTGGAGAACTTTAAGCGAGAGATCAACAGCAGTATAGTCATCCTCCAGAACTTTAACACCCCACTGACTTCACTGGATAGGGCTTCAAGACAAAAAATCAACATGGAAACAGTGACCCTAGATGACCCACTAAATCAGATGGATTTAATTGACATTTACAGAACATTCTACCTCAAAGCTGCAGAATATACATTCTTCTCAAGTGCACATGGGACATTCTCTAAGATAGACCAAATGTTAGGACACAAAACAAGTCTTGACAAGTTCAAGAAGACTGAAATCATATCAAGCATTTTCTCAGATCACAATGGCAGAAAATTAGAAATCAACTACAATAAAAACACTAAAAAACATTCAAACACATGGAGGTTAAATAGCATGCTATTGAACAATGAATGGGTTACCAAAGAAATCAAGGAAGAAATAAAAAACTTCCTGGAAACAAATGAAAATGAACATACAACAACTCAAAATCTATGGGATACAATGAAAGCAGTCCTGAGAGGGAAGTTCATAGCACTACAGGCCTACCTCAAAAAACAAGAAAAACTTGTAATACACTACCTAACCCTATAACTTAAAGATTTGGAGAGAGGACCACAAGAAAAGCCCAGAGTAAATAGAAGGAAGGAAATAATAAAGATAAGAGCAGAAATAAATGTCATAGAGACAAAAAAGAAAGAAAGAAAAAAAGAAAGAAAAAGATCAAAAATATCAAGAGCTGGTTCTTTGAAAAGATAAACATGATTGATGAACCTTTAGCCAGACTCATGAAGAAACAAAGAGAGAGGACTTAAACAAAATCAAAAAGGAAAGAGGTGAAGTAACATTTGACCCAATAGAAATACAAAGGATTGTAAAATATACTATGAACAAATTTACTACAACAAGCTGGGCCGCCTTGAGGAAATGGACAAATTCCTAGAAAAGCACAACCTGCCAAAGCTCAATCAGGAAGAGTCAGGGAACCTGGATAGGGTGATAACTAGAGATGAAGTTGAAGCACTAATCAAAAAGCTCCCAGCACAGAAAAGCCCTGGTCCAAACAGCATCACAGAGAAGTTTTAACAAAAATTCAGAGAAGAACTAACCTCTGTACTCCTCAAACTTTTCCAAAATCCAAGATGAAGGAACACTTCCAAACTTTTTATGAGGCCAGCATTAGCCCAATTCCAAAACCAGATAAAGACACTACAAATAAAGAGAATTACAGGTCAATATTCCTGACGAATATACATGTTAAAATCCTCAACAAAATATTAGCAAATTGGATCCAGCAATATATTAAAAAGATCATACACCCTGACCAAATGGGATTTATTCCAGGGATGCAAGGGTGGTACAATATTCACAAATCAATAACTGTGGTACATCACATAAACAAATTGAAAGACAAAAATCACATGA